ATTAGATCTTAGTTCCTCCTGTAGCACTGATACATGGGACAGTCTGGTTCCCCTGAGTACGGTCACTTGCTAGTTGTGGTACTTCTTCCCAGGTGATCACAGCATATCCTCTGTCACTATCATCTGCCTGCTCTTCCTTGGTCTTCCTTACTTTCTTTTTCCTCCCTTGGGTACCCAATTCAGTGCTTGCTTAGCATGTCTCCTATCTTCTAGATGGTGTACCTATCACAAACACATGAGCCTTCTTACTGGATATTTTCTAACATGTCTGCTCTATCAGCTGTGTGACGGGGAAGGCCATCCCCGCACTCTCAGCCCCGAGGCGGAGGGCCTGCGGGGTCCTAGGTGGGCAGAGATCTCAGGGCACGCAGGCCCCGCGGCAGCCCTGGGGCAGGATGAGCCGGCAGCCCAGCAGGGGAGCGGGGCCAAGGACGCGCCCTACAGGGCGGGCGCTAGGACCGCGGAGGCGGGCGGCGGCGCGACCAGATGCGGTGCGCCGGACGCGCCAGTTGAAAGGAGCGCCGGGGAGCCAGGCAAAGGGGAGGAAGCGGGGGTGAGGGCTGGCGGAGTTCTCCCTCTCCCCACAGGCAGCTCCAGGCGAGGAGAGGCTGGGGAATATGACCCCGAACCGGGGTGGATGGCAGGCCGACCCAGAGGGCACCGAAACTAGGATGGCGGAGCGGGACGGAGTGAGGCCGGCCGGACTTGACGCCCTAGGGCTAGGAAGGGCCGAACTCGGGTGAGGGCATTCCGAGCCCGACGGCCGGGGTACTCGGGCAGTGCGCAGGGGGCTCCCGAGACTCAAGGACCGGAGGGGGGGGCTACCCTCCCCTCCCGCGCCGGTGGACTTTGCGAGACTGAGACGGGGGCGAGCAAGAGGCGAGGGGCGGGCTGAGGGGAGCGCGTTTCGCCACAAGCTTCCTTATTCTTGCATTTTTTATTTTGCTTTTCCATGAAATCTGTAGTATCTTCCTCATTCCTCTGAGCGGCTGCCAGTTCCTATTTGTTAGGCACTGTCATCGGCCATTTCTCTGCTCCATACAGCAACATGCTCAGTACAATCACATGCTATACAGGCAGTCCCCGGGTTACGTACAAGATAGGGACTATAGGTTTGTTCTTAAGTTCAATTTGTATGTAAGTTGGAACTGGCTCCAGATTCAGCTGCTGCCACTGAAACTGACCAGGGGCTGACTACAGGAAGCCTGAGGCAGAGTTGCTCTGCCCCCAGCTTCCTGGAATCAGCCTGATCAGTTTCAACAGCTGCTGAATCTGGAGCCTGAGACAGAACAGCTGGGGCGCTGCCCGGTAGGTTCCCACAGGACCAACCCGGCAGCACCCCAGCTGCTCTACCTGAGGTGTCCCGCAACAAAAGCCTGGTCTGCTGGGGGGGGGGCGCACTAGCTGCGCCCCCTCCCCGCCCAGCATCCCAGGGAGACCGGAGCAAAGCCGCCCAGGCGGAGGGACCCCGCCGCCCGTGTGGTTTTGCTCCTTTGCCCCCAAGCAAAGCCGCACAGGCGGCGGGATGCCGCCTGTGCGGCTTTGCTCCTGTCTCCCTGGTCTGCTGGGGGGGTCCAGCGGCTTTGCTGGACCCCCCCAGCAGACCAGGGAGATCGGGAGAAGCTTTTCTCACCCCGGAGGACACGGGCGGCGACCCGCCACCCGTGAGCTCCGGGGTAAGAAAAGCCCCGTTCGTAAGTCGGATCCGCGTAAGTCGGGGACTGCCTGTACTCTTAACTTGTTGTTTGGTACAAAGACTTGTTTGATCAGATGTTGTTCATCCCCACTGCCAGCACCGCTGCTGGCCCTCCTGTCAGGCTGCTGCAGCCCTGGACCTGCTGCTGCTGGCTTTGCCCAGCTCCCAGCTCATCAGCACTCCCAGTTGTTCGCCCGCCTGCCACTGGGTTCCTGGCTGGGGCCCCCTGGTCCACAACATCTGTGGTCCAACAGGTCTCCTTTTTTCCCCACTGAAATCTGTCATCTTTGGGTTTTGAGTTCTGCCTATGTCTGCTATCTTCAAGTTTTGGTTTGACTGAACAGTTCACATTAAAATAAAGTTTTATCTGAGTGGGTTGTAAATTCAACTTCAGAATCCTCCTTTTATCTAGCCTTGGGAAAGGTACTGTTGTGAATAATGAGAGAGTCAATAAATCATTACCAGTAATAATAACTGTGCATCAAATACTGCTCTCCAGGGCACCTGAGTACCCCACTGTTTTCAAACATGCTCTGCTACACCTGTGCAGTCCTGCCATCTTCAATGTGATCTCAAAGATAGAATTTGACCCTACTTGCTCTTGGGGCTTTGAGTCATTCAGGGGCATTTATGTTTGCTTTTTGGTAGGAGATTAAGCACCGCTCAGTTATGCAAAATGGTGAGGTTGCTGCAGGGCAGACCCCATGTGAAAAACTTGCACTTCATTCATCTGAAGAAGTAGGCTGTGCCCACGAAAGCTCATAATATCATCTACATTTTTTGTTAATCTTTACGGTGCTGCAGGACTATTCATTGTTTTTTAATTTTTTCAGTTACAGACTAACATGGCTACCCCTCTGAAACTTGTACTTTTTCAGGTAATTCCTATATTGCCAGTAGAGCTGCTTGCACTACCAGTGGAGCTGCTTGCATAAGTAACACCACTCACACAAGCAATCAGCATTTGTATAAATATGAAAAACATTTTATAATTAACAAGAGACTCTGTATTCTAACCTCAAGAAGCAATATAAATCAAAATTTTGCCAGAAAAGAACATATGAAAACTGCAAGTGGCACTGGGTTATCTCTCATAATCCTGCTGGAGTTTGTAACCAAATTAGGATGTTGGAAGATTTTTGGATTCCCTTGAAATTGAAGGAAAAGTATACATTTTTTTTTCATTACACTAGTATTTCTTTAAAAGTTTTGTGGTTAAAAACTAAGCCCATCATTTTAACAGACAGAAGCTTACTGTTTGCATTATTTCTAGATTGTCAAATTTGTGAGGAAATAAAAGGCACCTTCTTAGAAATCCAAAGGAAATGATAGCTTTTAAGTAGACCTACAGAGTACTATGAACTCTTATGGGTTCTTATAAGAACTTAGTCATAATTCTTCTTTATAATTAAAAAAGAATATTTTGGCTGATTGTAACAGTTTAAGCTGAATGTTGTATATTGAGATTATGTGCACGCAAGTTGCGATGTATTACATTGATGTCAATTTTTTCAACAGCATTTAAATTGATTTAATTTGGTTTATCTCCTATGTCTGATTGACAGACATGGATGGTCTTCCAGAAAATACTGATAATTTATACTAAAGCTGTGAGTAATTTATTTTCTTAGTACAGAGTAAGAATAATACATGGCTATCAATTTATATCACCTCTTTTCCCTCTCTGAATTTTTATAGTGTAGTCTTTATTTCTAAACCCCCTCAATTTGTGAAAATGAGCAATATTTAAAACTAAGCATATTCAAACACTCTATGGCTTTAGTAGTGAAAGTTACAACATTTCATGTAATTGATTTAAATTTTCTGTATATTTTTCAGATTTTTACATTGTGAGGTGTAGTGTGCTACTTTTTAGAATTTTTCACATGGCCAATGCATTTAATGAGTGAGTAAGAAACATATGGCCAAATCTTGCCCTAGATTACATCTGTGCAACCCCAATGAAGCTAATGGGGTTAAACAGGTGTAACTGAAAGCCTGCAGTGTTTAATGGTGACGTTCAAGCATACAAATGGGTTTGTGTCCCTTTTAGCTTTTTTTATTGTATAAAAGAAGGTTTCTCTCATTAGTGCCTCTCTCAGGACTAAAATATCTTTTTGCTTGTATTTTTACCATGGAAGTACCAGGAATAGCAATTTTAGCCCAGATCCTCAATGATATTAAGGTCTCATTGATTTCAATGGACATTAACGCCTGGTCTGTATTAGATCAGGCAGATTGACTTCACATATGCAAGTCCAGCTACACAAAATGCTGTAGCTGGAGTCAGTTTACCTCTAGCTGAGTCATGGTGGCGTCCACCCAGCACGAGGCTGACAGGAGCAAATACTCCTGTGGGCTTCCCTTACTGTTTGCAGGAGTACTGGATGCCAGCAGGGGCTACCCTCAGCATTTGATTTAGGGGTCTACACTAGGTCTGCTAAATCCAATGCTAGAAGATTGACCTCTGGAGTGCCGATTGTCTGTTAAGTACAGAAGTGCCTTAAGAGTGTAAATATATTATGGATCTGGAACTCTCTCTCTTTATGCATGCTGGAATGACTGACTCAGAACCTTGAAAGGCCTCTCATTCAGTTTGAATCACTAAAAAAGGAGCGTTCCCTCCCAAGTGTGTGTTATAAAAAATAATCCAAAATAAGTTTTAAACATTTTGTATAAAATATCCCTTTCCCTGTCAGTTTAATTAGATTTCACTCCCTTTGTTTCTGTATTGTTTTAATCTTACTAGTTCTCCAGTGCTCACATCAGACTTACAAGGCAGAGAACACCTGAATGTCTAATATCAGGAAAAGAGGGGTGGGAGCAGTGGGAGGGGAAAGGAAAGTAAACTTCAGTAAATAAATTTCCAGCATTCTTCACCCATTATATAGAAGCAAAAGGCAAACACCCCAATTTGCTTTCGTGTAGGTCACCTTTAAGCTTTTAGGGCTAAATGCTGTTCTTAAGCTACAGTGGTTCCAACCACATTACAGAGATGAAAACAAAAGTTACTTTGGCTTTACTGACAGCGGAACTAAACTGGAATTAGGGCCATGTGATGCTGCACTCGCTGGCTTGAAGTGGTTTCCCTCAGATGCAAGATTTACAGTTTGGATCAAGTGGCTTTCAGCACCCCCCACCATAAATATTGTTCCAGCCTTACTGCCAGAGAGACTGCTGATAGTAAGCAAGGCAGGGCCCCAAACAGTACATTTCTGTGGCACTAAAAAAGTGGCTGGTAATTTTAATAGCCAACACCGCATTTCTGCTGCCCGATCCTACCCCCTCCCGCTCCAACTCGCACCGGAGTCTCATGGAAGAAGGCGGCCGGGTCCCAGCTGTCCCCTGGTTCCAGCAGCTCAGCGGGCAGGTCTGCAGAAGTCTCAGGAAAGTTGCTCCACCAGCTACCACGGACCCTAACGAGCTCCCTCCTTGGAACGGGGCGGGAGGAGCCTTTGTCCTCGTGCCTCGCGGGGGCTGCCCGCTCCAGCAGGCGGCCCCCCATGGGAAGAAGGGGTCCCGGGGCCGCCCGCCCTGCAGACAGCGCCCCTGCGCCTCCGCAGAGCGTCCACCGCTTGCTCAG